CCCCCTTACCCAATTTGTATTTGTGTTGTTTCTTTTCCTTCTTCTTCTTCTTTTTCTTCTTCTTCTTCTTCTTTTTCTTCTTCTTCTTTTGACAAATATCTCTTTTTCCCTTCCCCCGAACCTCCTCTACTTAAATATTTTCTAAACCGGGCTAATCAACTTAGTGACCTTCTTTTTCTTTCCCCTAGTATTAGTACTAGAGGTGGAAGTTCCGTCAATATCAATAGCATCCATATAGGTGCTAATACTACCATGTTGTGACTGAATATCGTTGACATTGAACATGTTGGGGAATTGGTTTTGGGAGGAGCTGGCCATTTTTTTAATTCTAAAAAAATAAAAATTAATTTAATTGCACTTACTTGGATTGATGGTTCGGAATCCCAACTTGATTTCAATGGTTAAAACCTTTCAACTCCAAGAGTCCAAGCCTCCCAAATTGCTAACTTGAGATACTTGAGCAAACCTTCATGTTGACACTTCAATAAAGTTGAGAATTAGTGAATTGGAGAATGTATAAGAGATTGAGAGATTAGGACTTGAGAGAGTATGAGAACTAGAGAAGAGATTAAGATAATTATTGAATTGGTGTGATGAGAATGATGGAAGATAGGATTGTTTATAGGAATTGAAAATAATTCAATTGCTCAAAATACTCTAAAACTAGTCATTTTTTAGTTGTTAGGAGAGGTATTTTGGTCATTGTAAAGTTATTTATCATTTTACCCAAAATACACCCCCAAACTAGTTGTTATATAACTGTTGGGGGGCATTTGTGTCATTCTTTCTCCCCCAAATTCAAAATGCATAAATACCTCCTATATAGTTGTTGCGGAGGGGGGAAGTATTTCTATAAAAAAAACCCTAAAAAAAGCTAAAACTAGTCGTTGGGGACCCTAAGCCCAACATGGCCTACCGTTCCGTATGCCGTACTGGCTCATGGACCTGAAACCCTAGGCCCAACACAGTCCGGACCATCGTGCCAATCCTAGCACGACCTATGTGCCATCGTGCCATGCTGGCACTAGGCCCGGGCCGACCTGGGCCGACCTAATTTACACCTCTAGGTGCACCCTTGTATAGGTGCCTAGGAGTGTTGTTGTGCTCCTCAATTGTAGGACACCTGTTAGGAGTGCAATTTGGGCGGGCTTAGGTTGTTATTTTGTCAAAATTTGAATAGGCCCGACCCTATGCAGCGTAAAATCCCAAAATGAGGTACTCGACTTACTCCCCTAACACCCGTTAGCTTTTGAGGTGATCACCATCCAATCTATTGTGAGATATGGGCAACATGACGAATCCAACTTGACACATAAAAAGGCAGTGCGAGGAGGTTGGGAGCAATTGCACCAACCTTGATGTTAGGGGAGTAAGTCGAGTACCCGATGATGCCACGTCACTACTCTTTGGTTTGTCCAGGCCCTTGACTACATGGTAAGTGCTCGGCTCAACCACTTGTCAACTTCTAGTTAGTCCACGTGGTGGTCTAATCCCGGGCTCAATTTACAATCACATCAGCTTTTATACAAAAATTTTTATATATTTTTTGCATTTCTAGTTTAATATATATATTTTAGTTCAAAATAAACCAAATTCTTAGTTTCTTTTGGATAAATCGTGGATTTTTTTTCTTATTTTTCTAAATTTAACATATCCTAAGTAGACCTGTTCATGGGCCGGCCCGGGCTTTCACTTGTCATTAAGGGAAATATGCTAGGCCCGAGTCCGAGCTCGAAGCCCGACCTAATAAAAGAAAACAATTTTCTCTATTCAAATTAAAATTAAAAATTCAGATAGTTTTTTTTTTCTATTTAAATGAACAATGGGCCTACAAGGTGGTTTTTTTCCCATTTCTTTTATATTTTAAAACACAGTTTTACATTCTTAAATCAAAAAATTTATTCAAATGGACATAATCACATTATTCACTTTAAGTCTAATATTAGGTCGGGTCGAGCCGGGCTAGGGCCGGGCTATTTTGACAAAACCCGAGTCCGGCTTGAATTTTTTGCGGGCCGGGCTTTTTGGCCTGAATTTAAGCTTGCGGGTCTATTAACCACGTTCAAGCCCATCTGGGGGGCCGGGCTGGGCTGGGTGGCCGGCCCGGCCCATGAACAGGTCCAATCCTAAATTGTTGGGTGACCATAAATCTAATATCAATTATATGGATGATTCAACATATGTTTCCTTTGTTCTAAATTGGTCAATTGAATAATTTGAAAACATTACATTTTGAAACTTAAAATGTAAAGTATTAATTGTTACTTGATTAGTTATTATTTTGTTTTACACTTAAAAGCTAAAATTATTATTTATAAACTTTTATTTTATGGATTTTTGTACTTTTTATGATCTTATCTTGATATATATTATATGCTATTTTTATCATTTATAAACTTTAATTAATTTTTTTTCTTAATTTTTAAAATCTATGATTTGAAAAAGCCCAACGATTTGAACCATTATGGCTCAACTACACCTTCAACCTTTTTTAAACATTATTTTTTATTAAAACTTGGTTTCCCCTTCCCTCAACATAAATCATCATTTATTTCACAGCTGAAAGTCTATATGTAATAATCAATCAACTCAACTAATATGCCTTACCTAGGCAATTGCATATGGCTCATGTTTCTATATTCTACTTTACATATTTTTACATATCAGATATATGTAATACTAAGTCAGCTCTACCGATTTATTTAGATGTTAGTACACCTAAGAAAAGCAGAAGTCTGACCTTGATTTTTTTTTTTTTTAATTTAAGCTTTTGGTGACGTTTTACACTTTTTCTTCTCAACAGTTAAGGTGATAAGTGATGAGCCACATGTTTACAGACTGGGACTAATTTTGATGAATTCTTTTTAGCTTTCAACATAAGTATGGGGTGCATATGGAATGCAGTAGAACGGTAGTTAGATGGGTTAATTAGGTTGCAATTTTTAGTTGGGAAGCTCAAGTCTGCACATAGCAAGCCTAATTACATGACAGAATCAAAACCTAAAATTCTACCTTTTTTTATGTAGCTTTTCCCTAACGTTTTCCTTCAAAATTTGATGACATCAAACAAATAGCTTTGCTTTTTAGAAGACAAAAAAGCTTCTCTGAAAGCATTAAACAGACCGGCCCAAACAGTCTTGGCTCCATGTAATAACTTGGTGCATTAATAAACAAGGCACTGTTGTTCTAACAGAGACAACTCGAGGTACGCAGATCTTCGCAAGTTGCACACAAAACCAGTGCATGCGCTCGAGTATTGTAACCGATGAAGATGACGATACCATACAAAACCAGTTTAGATTAGCCAGAAACCATGGGCAGGAATAAAACAAAAGTGCAAAAACCTCCTCCTTCCACACAGGTTTTTTATGTTTGTTGACAAGACTAGGCAATGAAGTTTTTCCGACATGAACCCAGAAAAGGGGTCCCTCTACACACACAGAGGAGCCAGAGGATACGAACTTTTCTTGATAAGCAAACAAATGATTTAGAAGTTATTGAGATATTAATAGAAGACTTTGCTTTTGAGCTTATCAATGAGGTTATGAGCTGTCCTAATAGAATTAAGTTGATGAAATATTATATAAACTTAATTATCTGAGTCAAAGTAGATAAGTAACTTAGAGATTCGATCCATCCAGCAACTGGACTGAAACTGAAAGGAGCGTCCATCCAGAGATTCAATAACATTTTTTATCATCGGAAAGTAAAACTAGCTAGTACTGATTTTCATCAAGTCTTTAGTAAAAAGGAGAGCTTTCAAAATAAAATATTTCTACATGCACCAAATAAAAATTTTCTACAGACGTGAACACACTGTTAGAGAATAGGGACACTTAAATAGTTTAAGCTTTTGCGGATTTCTTTAGGCTGTATTTGGTTGCAGTGTACTAGTACAAATGTATGAGAATACAAATGAAAAAAAATACAAATTTTGATTTAATTTTGTTTTGGATTTTACTTATTAATTTTATTGAAACAAAAATAAATGAAAACTTATACCCAAATAATTTGCACTACCATAATTTTGCATAGTGCAAATGAAACCAAACACAGACTAATATTCATCTTTTGTCCCTCTATTATATTCTATTAAATTTGAGCATTAGGTTGAATGAATGGTTTCATGATATGCACAAAAACCAAAGGTGCCAGTCCAGAATGCTTGGAAAGTAAGCCTCATTCGCAGATCAAAACATATTATTTGAATCACGAAAATATGTCAGAAGATGCCGAAATGATTTCAGGGTTCATGGATAAGGCACAAGGCAAAGAGTGTAAAACAATGTTAACATTTCTGAGAACCAAAATGAATTGATCATCCACATTATTAAATATTTTTTTCATTAATTTGTAGCTTCCCATACATGATAAAAGCAAACAGCTAGCCAAGATAAAATTCTGTGAAGGTCACTTTTATCTGTAGAACGATAAAGATATATGATTCAGAGATTCTTGGTAAGGAGAAATGGTGAATTACCCTACAATGGACCAGTTTATTGGTCGGAAGAAATTAAGAAAAAGACCAATTTACTTGATCCTGACTTCCGATCCTTACAACATGCATGTTAGTGTGCCGAATCAGAAATAAGTTAAATGAACTAACGGCGAACACCGTCGTGATGGATTTGATGGTGATCATGGGTGGTGGACGCCTGGACGGAGGAGGGGAAGAGCTGCCTGGTGGCCGGGCGGCCGGGCCTTTAATACGAATACTTTTGTCCTATGAACCGCATACAGCGTCTGTATAATGTGTTTGTAGACCCCATCGCTAAGCTGGTGCCTGGTGCTCGGAAGGGGACGTATCGAGAGTTGTGTAAATGACAGGGTCGATGGAAATGCATCCACATGCAACTTTCACTCGGTCCCTTTCACAGATGTAAAAAATTTATCTCTTTTGATACTTCTCAAAGACCAATATTAATATCCTCATGGGCTATCGGCTGTGCACAAAATCATCAACTTCCAAATAAATCTGTTTTCTCTGAAATCGCTTAAGCATGGCTAAATTGAGAAAGGCTGTGAGAGATAAGAAAGCAAGAATGTTAAGCTTCAGGTTTATCATGGAGAAGCTACAAAGGAGTCTCTGGCTAGCCTCAAGGTTAGCTTTCAACAACGACGATGAGACAGGCGAGGTTGCTGATGTTCCTGAAGATGTCAAGGAAGGACAGTTCGTGGTGTTTGCCATCGACGAAGGGAATCTGACGAGGTTCATTGTTGAATTGGGATATCTGAATCACCCCGAGTTCTTGAAGCTGTTAGAGCAGGCAGAGGAGGAATTTGGGTTTGAACAGAAAGGTGCCCTAGCAGTTCCTTGTCATCCAGATGATCTTCGGCGAATCCTGGGAAGCAAAAGGAGGGAGGGGAATGACGGCATGGATTGGAGTTCCTGTAATAAGGCCACTGATTGAAAGTTGCTAGGGATAAACATAATATGTATTGCACAGAATTCTTTTTTGTTCCCTTTCTTCTAGCTAATTAATCTAATATAATCCAAATTATGCATGGCTTATGTTCCTATACTTCAGTTGGGATTTGGCTTTCTTTTACCCTAGCTTTTCCCTTTGATTTCCTTCACAAGTGTAACATTTTTAATAAAATTAATTAGAAACATTTGAGTTCAATCATGGTGTAAGTAGTGCAACCCCAGCTAGACGACTGCAGCCCCAATAGAAACAGGTGATCATGCCTTGTTTGCACCATCTCCAAATATGAAGTTTAAATTTTCCTAGACAAATGGTACACCAGAAAATTAAAGATTCTCTTAAAATATGGGAGAGCAAGCTAAGATGGGCGATAATGAAGACAAGGTACAATGGCTTATTATACTCTCATCAGTCTCATGGTGTAGCCAGAGTGAATTCGAATGAAATGCCTCTCTCTCTCTCACACACACACATACACTGATACACACAATGGATATTTTCTAGTGTTTCCCAGCACAAAAGATGAAAAAGATAAAACACACACAAATTCCAAGTTACATAAATACATTTTGTTGTACTTGTACCAGTGCCAGAAAATACACTCCAAGCCATAAATGTTGGAACATTTTCTTTTCTTTTTTTTTTTTTTGGCAGAGAAGGGAGAAGAAACAGAAAAAACAAAGCACCCAGCGGGGGAAGGTTCGTCCCCATGCATCACTGAGACAAATATAAAGAACATTACAAAGAGGAAGAGGGTTTCACTGTGGATCTCAGAAGAGTTTCCCAAGTTGGCCAACCAGTCAGCTGCAAAGTTGGCTTCTCTGTAGACTTGGTGATCCGGTTCTTGTGGTTTGCTTTTTTTTTGTTAATGTTGTAATATTGAATCCATGTTGAGGCTCAATATTTGATCTATGCTGCAAAATTTACGATTCAAGGTGCATCTCCTAGCTCCAGTTCTGCAGAACAAGTTTTTTTTGCCATAGAATTATTGCTCAAGAACATATTTATTTGAAAATGAGTCTAGTGGAGAGAGAGAGGGAGATTTCTCTCCTATAGTCAGAAAAATAGATGGTAACATTGACGCAGCCCCCATGGTTAATTACAGCAGTATATAGGTTGAGGATGAGGTCTCTTGCAATCTACCATGGTGATGTTGGACAGTTGTGAAAAGCTAAATATTTGAAGAATTCTCAATGAGGATCAATCTATTCTGGATTGGTGATGCAAGAAATTGGCTTGGAAATTTCTCACTGAGGATCAATCTATTTGGGTTCAGTTGTGAAAAACTAAATATTTGAAGAATTCGTGTTTGTTTCCTTCAAAGGTAAGTACCAATGCTTCTTTTATTTGGAAATCGGTTTCAAAGATTTTGCTTAATAAGTTTCATGTTGAAGTGGGTGATAAAGCAAAATGATCATTCTCGTGGCATTTGCATGTTCCTTGAATCAGATTGAATGACAGATTTAGTATGCCTTGGGGCCCAGTTCCATTATATTGCCTTTATTTCAACTAAAATCAAAAGATTAGGCTGCGTTTGGTAATAAGGACTTATCTCCTTTTTGTAGTTAAAAATTCAGTGCTCATAAGGTCACTTTAACTGCAAAAAGGAGATAAGTCCTTAAAATAAGGAATGCCAAATGTAGACTTAATGAGAGATAATGGGGCAATGGGGTGGAATTCAGTTAAATGAAAATTTTCATCCTGCAATTATTGAATATATTGATATATTGGATGCAGATTTTAATCCTCAGTGGATTTGGACTTCTCATAGATCAGGGAGATTTTCGGTTAATTAAAGCTGCTTATAATAATGGTCTTCCCTCTAATTCTACTTTAACTGATCCCTCTAAGAAAAAGGTAATTAAATGGATTTGGAATCTGAATCTTGCCCCACGGTTTAAACATTTTTCTTTGGAGATTGTTCAATGGTTACATCATCGTTAAAGATAAAATGTGGAATCAGGAACAGTATGATTTGGTGCAGTGTGACATTTGTTATAATTCAGAAAAAAACGTTTGGAACATGTCTTCTGTTCTTGCAATTTGGCTAGAGCAGTTTGGTTTGGTCTCCCAGTAGGGATTCGACTTGCTAATTTTTTATCTGGGCATTTTGTCATCTATCTTTTTGAGCTTTTGATAGATTTGAATAATAAAGGTCAAGCTTTGGAATTCTTAAAATGGTTGGCTGTGGGGTCTTATTTTATATGGTATGTGAGAAATAAGAAGGTGTTTCATAATCAATAAGTCTCAGCTCAGTGTTTTATTCAGAAGATTTGTTTCACTATTGGTCAATGGGATACTTGTCACTGTTAATTCTGTCATTCATTCATAAAGAATCTCTCATAGGGTTACAGAGAATAATATTCCTTCTTGGGCCTCTTATTACACTTTCTGTGATGGTGGCTCCATTTGTTCTACTCTTAGCTCTTATGGGATTGTCTGTTTTGCTAACACTGCTCAATTTGATGGGGCTACTGCAGGTACTTTCTCATCTTTTTGTTCTGTAGAAGAAGATGAGCTGATGGCAATCTTCAAAGCTCTAACCTAGGCTAAACACAATGGAGAAATGCTGTTATCTTTTTGGATGCTTTGTCTGCTATTTGGCTTTTAAGATTAAAAGTCAAGGAGTTTCTTGGAATCTCTGGTAAAGTTGGGTGTCTTGTTACAGTCAAGGAGTTTGCCACATGTTAAATCTTCTAGTTCACATTAGAATCTATATCCTACCTTATATATTGGTGGTTTTTCCAATTGATGATATTAGCTGTTCAAGGTTGGATATAAAGCTTTTCCATTGACAACAAAATAAAGAAATAGAACTTTCCACTGGAAAGGAATTACTGTGAATATGCGGTAATTAAGCTTGGTATTCTGAACCAAATATAGACTGAAAAGCGCAGAAACACACGCCACTTTAATTTCCAACTTATTTCCATGTGGAAGGTTCCTGGGAATATAATAGCTCAAAGAGTGGAGATTTACCTCAACAAATCCACTAGAAAATTAGACCCCATAAGTATTATATATATATATTGGATTGTTCAAAGGCTCAATCCAAAACCAGGGCATGAATATCCCTCTTTTGTATATAGGTGCATTGTACGTCAAGGCTTTCTTGAAAGGTTTGCCAAATATATACACGAATCGAATTGGATGAAATTGAATGCAACCCATGGAATGGAACCCTGAAACATTCAACTTAATTAAGCGATATAAAAAACCATGAGCATAGTTTCCAAAATTTGTATGTTTGTATAGTAAACTGATGGTTTATTAATCCCATGCCACTAACAGGAGTAAGCAGCAAGGCGACAGACTTTTCAACAAAAACTCCATCTACTGACAAGGATAGACCATTCCAACATGTGTATGTGATGGGAATGAGCTAGCTCTTATCCATGTTCACGTCTGGATGAAGAACACAAGACAATGTGGCCCCAGAATGATATCATCACTTGATGATCACAATCTACTACTGGGTGGGTGGAACTGGAAACCCGGCTAAATGATAATGTCACACCAGACACCACTTTTGAAGCAAGATTTTGATTCAGGTGAAGTGCATGCTATGTGTACTGTGTGTTTTGTAGACGCCCCACCTCCCAGAAACAAACACTCAGAGAATTGACGTATCATGAGAATACGTTAAAGACTGAGAAGGTGCTCCACATGCAATGACCACCCTTTAGTCCCCTGGGAATTAAACAGCTCAAAGATATTGCCCATTCTTCACTCTTTTCAATAATGAAATCTCAGCTCTTTAATCTTAATCTGATATATATATCCAACAAATTAAAACATGAATTAGAGAGTTCTGAAATCACTTGCGGTTAAAAAGGTGAAGAGTTAGACTTGGAGAGATGAAAATGATGCTTAGACCTTTTCGTTTGTTGAATGTTGAGCTGAAGGCGCCTGAAGAGACGGTACCAAACTAGCTCATCATCTGTCATGGAAAAGAGCAGCAGTGAGTGAGCTAGCTAGCTAGCTGAGCTGATGTATAAGGAAGGGTACTGTACTGTTGTTTCAATGATGGGTGGCAAGCCAAAGTAGAGGTCCATTGATTATATATATTCATGACTTGAAATGCCTGACTATCACAAATTATTGGAAACTGACTGATCTTGATCGGAGGAATTCGATGGGGTTCAAACAAGGGGATCGAAAGTTGTTGCAGCTGAGTTGCAGTCCTTGAGTTTGTTGAGCAGGATTTCAGGAGGCGGGAGGACAAAGGAGGGGATATAGCTCATAGCTGGTGATGGTGATAGATGGCTAAGACAGCTCTGTATCAGTGTCTGTGATGGTGGATGAGAAAAAGAATAGATGTATAAAGCATCTTCTGGTATATTGGTTGCTCTGGGAGCTGCATACCAGATATCACATGGGAAAAATCATATAATTCTTTTTGTTCTCTTTTACTATCTATGATTAAATAAAAAGGAATAACAAATTTTAGTACCCTTTAAAATAATCTTGCGGTGAGCGTGGATCGAAAACGCGACCTTCAGATCTTCAGTCTGACGCTCTCCCAACTGATCTATCCCCGCAATCACAAATTACACGAGAAGAAGAATTATTATTTGACTACATAAGTCTTAAAAGGGACTTCTGATACATTATTGCACAGATGCAAGCCGTCCACCATGATTTATTATTATTATTATTATTATTATTATTTTTTGGATATACAGGATCCCAGAACAAGTGTAAGTAGGATCTAAAGCTTCAATTTCCTACTAATGAAGAAGAATAAACTGAGAACGGAAGAGGCCGGAGAAGAAGTGTTATCGGCCTTCAACCTCGGTGGGCCCCTGGAAAACCAAAAACTCAAAAGATTTGTAGATCTGTACGTGGATACTGTGGTGTTTTGCAGCCCCAAAAAGGCTCTATGTTAGGTAGGGTTAAAGTGACATAGGAAGAGGTAGAGAAGGGTCCCAAGAGAAGGGTTTAATCAAATTTTCGTTTTTTCCTTTCTGTGAGTATGTTGTTTCCTTTTTTATCTTGTTGAGGCCAGAGTTCTGATTGATTTGATATGTTGGTAACTTGGTATGGGTGTCTTTAGGGTTTCACTTCACTTGGTCTTTCTTTTTTTTTTTTGTGTGGCTTTAAGTGCTCCTTCTAGCCGGCCCGTTTGCTTCTTTTTTGGCTTAAACTTTTAAGGTTCTGTCGGGATGAGTGTAATATTTGTATTCAGCTCATCAATTTTGGTAGTGTTTGATAAGAGTGTATTTGTGTCTTAAAAATGACAGTAGATACAGATTTTTAAGACATATTTGCATTCAAGATGAGGGTAAAGTTTACATCCAAAAAATGGATGCATACTTGATTAATGTTAAAAAGGTATATTTCAATCTCGGAATTCATGTTTATATCTATTGCTACTAAAAATCTTTTGCAAAGAATACAAAATTACTGTTACAAAATTAAACCAACTTTGTATTTTCATTAACCAAACATATTTTTATTTATACTGGTCTTTTTTGTATTTACACTCTTCCCAACACACAGCCTTATGTACAGCTTGTAATTTTGTGTTTATCTTTTTCTTTTTATCTTAATATAATCTTTTTATTTATTATAAAAAAAAAGGTTCAAGAAAAATTTGTACCCCAATTCGATTTTGCAATTGTTTGGTAAGGATGTCTTTTTATTGAAAATGAAAGTAATTTTAACTTTCAAAATGAGAGCAGATCTAGTTTGTTTTCAAAAAATTAAAGCAAACTTTGCATTCGATGTTGATTAATGTACACTAGATAGATATTAGTGGTGAAATTCGTGTTTATTATCACAACCAAGCGCAAGTGCAGCCCTACATTTCCTTCACACTTTTTGATCAAATTTGCATTTACACCGATCTATATGCTTTTTGCACTCTTACCAAATGCAGCCCTACATTCAATCTTCCCTAATCATCCATGTGGATGGATGATGAAGTGCCAATCTTAACCATCCACCAAATAATGGACCCTCTGAATTAGGTAATTGATTTAATTCTAAATTCCACCTTTTCATTAGTATTCTCAAAAAAGTAATATTGGCTAATTTTTGGTAAACAAGTAATATTGACTATTGAAAGCTCACAAACTCTTTAATTTCAATGTTCCTGGGGAAGGGATTGTTTGGTTCTAAATTTGTCCCATTAGAAACGAAACATATAAAGTCTGTTTAGGCAAAGCAAATTTTCCATAAATGATCATTTGTCCCATCTAAATTCCACCTTACATTTTTTGCTTATTGCTGCTGCTGTGGTGCTACTGCTATTCCTAATCCTCCTATTATTACTGTTATTATTATTGTTATTAATTTATTATTATTATTACTACAAATAATAATTATATATAATATATATATATATATATATATATATCCTAACAATGAAATGGATGTACAGTCGCACATTTTCCTTTCGGGAAATGACATCCCACATAGAAAGGCCTTCAAGCGTGCGAAATACCATCAAATAACCTTTATGTATGTGGGGAAGCCAAAATAGGTATGGAGGAGGTAGGCCTCTCGACTCTCGTTGCGGGGCAAACGGCACCTTACTGTAGCTTGGTGCGTGCGACGTCTTTTGAAGCGATGTGTCCTTTCTGACCCTCCCCTGATAATAATAATCTGGTTAATGAAATACCACTCTCACATCCAGTGATTAACAAGTTTGAAATATTTTTCATGGCTTCTCATTTCTCCTCTATCTATACATCTAATTCTCTTAATTCTTGACAGTTTACTCATTTGTTTTTTCATCAACAAGAAAATAAAAAATCTTATTGTATTCAATCATGTCGGACATCCATTCCCTTCCCAGGCTTTTATTAATGAATAGTATGGTGTAATGGTAGACAATTAAACATTTCCTATTGGTATTTATTATTTATGTTTTCACGACACTAACCTCTCGGAACCGGTAACATGTTGAAAAGATTTGTATTGGCTGATAATTAGTGTTTGTTTGGACAAATTGCATTTTTTGGTAGGACCTAGGAGGCATTTGGGTACGGGGAAGTAGTGCCCCTACACCTACAATATATTGTTTTGAGCCCTAGAGAAAACGAAAAAAAAAAATGATTTACACCATTAAGTAATGCTACTTTGCCAAGAATATTTACCAACCAGGAAAATTTGTTAGACTCTTTCGAGGCCTTAAATTACTAAATCAAATTATTCGATTTTTGAAATTAGGACTTGATCAACTTCTTAATTTGGACCTGGGTCTTATTAATTCAAGGTTCAAAATATATCATAATATATTGATACATATTGTATAACATAATACAAGGTTTTGTATCGGTTTCGTTTCACCCTAAACAGACCGCTCATTGACAGATCTGAGCACAATCAAGTCTAATTGAGTCAGACCTGATTAATAATTAATTTGGTTCTGTTCCTATTTTATAGAACTGATTAATAATTGGTTCAGGATTGCTCCACTCTGTCCCGAACCAAACCCAACTCATTGACAGGTGTGAGTATCATTCTATCTCAACTAACGGTGGTGCTTGGGACTTGGGAGGAACTTTAATTTTTCATCTCTTCTTCTTTTATTTTTGAACAGTAGAAAAACTAGAGTAGCTCCTGTGTAAATTAATGGCGACCAAAATATCTAATTCGTGCAGAAGATCAATGACAGCCCCAATAAACGAATAAATAAATACCCAAATACTGCCTTGTATGATGGATTTCGAATAGTTGTGGGAGAAGAGGCTTGTGGAAGAACAGTAGCCATTTTGCAGTTTTGCATGGATAGTTTTGTGGCGGAGTAAGATATCATAACCCCACCATAAATGTGCCAGAAGAAAGACTGTCGGTTTCAAATCGCTGGCTTAGACCGTTTTTCTTCTAATGAAAAACTGGGTATGCTAATAATACGCTTGTCTCAATTCAACCGTATGGTTCTCATTAATATTCTCCCTGGTATATCACTACTTAATGAAACTAATCAAGTCAAATGTATGCAATCAACATATATGGTTGTGACATTTCATTCATTAATTTCAAGAGAATACTAGTATTGGCAATATCTTGCGCTTTGAGAGTTGGGTGCATGTTTGGATGCTCTCATGAACTGCCAATGAAGAATAAACCATGCGAAACCAGTTAAGGTTGCCTAGAAATCCATGGGCTACAATCCATCCCTCTTCATTTCCTTAGTTCTTTTATCATTGATGAGACAAACGCAGGGGCCCTTAGCCGCCCCATGTAGGTTGACAAGAGTAAGCAAGCTCCATTACCTATGTAATCGTATCAAAGGGGAGATGGGATTTCTTGCAAGCAAAAGCTCTGTTTGTTGTTTGCAGGTAAAGTCATGCAACTGTACATTAGGAATATCTTTTTATGAATTTCATGTAAATG